CACACACACACACACACACACACACACACACACACACACACTTTTATTGACAGTAAAAATACAAATATATCTTTCTCATAATAAGGTGTCGTATGTAACAGAGTATTTGTCTGATGTTGGTGACAAAACATGTAACTAATGACAGTTTCAAATCAGTGGCATCAAATGCATCGATTGCAGTTTTCTTTAGCGGATTCCAGTTTCCGATTTTTTTTGTAAAGTTCTGATTCAGTATTTCTGATGTTGTCCTCACTGTGTCAGCGTACAAACACAACTTTGTAATTTAGGTTTGGATTGAAAGTTTGACCGTGCTCAGTTTAAAACATACAAAAAGATCATTGTGTCATACTGCCTGAACTAAAAGTCCTGTTTCCACAGGATCTGTTGGTGGATACGACCCTCTTCAATAAGAAGGTGCGGTGGGCCGATGGCTTCGTTCTAGTCTACAGCATCTGCGACAGAGCCAGCTTCAACGCCGTCAACAAGCTGGTCCAGAGCATCAGGTCCACCAAAGGCTTCCKCAGCGAAGACAAGGCGCCCATTGTGATCGTGGGCAACAAAAGGGACCTGAACCACAGGCGGACGGTGCCGAGCGAGGAGGGCCGGCTGCTGGCTCTGAACACAGACTGCCTCTTCTATGAGGTTTCGGCAGCGGAGGACTACCACAGCGTGCTCACCGTGTTCCGTGGACTCACGGAGCGGATGAGGGACGCCAAGCTGACGAGCACCAAAAGACCTCTGAGACTGAAGGGCATTGTGAAAAGCATGTCGGCGGTGTTCGCCAGGAGGCGGACAGACTCACTGTGAGAGGCTGGAACTGTGCCGTTTTCTGGGACGAAGTTRCAAACCTGACTGAGCGTCAAGAAGACGCCAATGAACCTCTGAAAACAAAACATTTAGACATATAACCTGCTCTGTTGTGCCACTGACTGTAAAGTGATTTTATTTATTTACTGTATTTAAACTGAAATGGATTCAAATCGAAGGAAATTCTACGGAAGACGTAAACTATATATTTGCCAAAGAAATTGTTATAAGCTGTGGTGGGCAAAGCTAACCAGAAAGTTAGCATCGCTAACTCATAATCTGCTAACTAAAAACACAGCTTTGTTAATGCTAAACTGCTAAACCTGTAAAACAAATTAGAGGAAGCTAACGCTAAACATGTAAAAAAAAAGATCAATTATTAATCATAAATTAATGCTAAAAACCTATACAAGTTGTAATGCGATGGTCGTTCGTAGGAGGAGAGCTAGCTTAGCATAAACCATGTGCTTCGGTGCAGCTCCGAAAAGAGCGACAGCTTTTTGGTTCCCACATGTACTACTTTATTACAGAACTTGAAACCATACAAAGCCAGGTCTGCACGGCACTAAATCTACATTCATACATGAATAAATAGATAATAGTCCATGATCCTTCACCATCATTCATTACCGAGGTTGAGCAGCAGAGCAGCTAAGCGCGTACACAGTGCAAGGCTTTAGCTCTGAACTCTTATGCTGCGTTCACACCGAACGTGATTTCAGCTTCAAAATCACATCCAACGCTTCAAGTCAGACGCTTGTGCACTTTGAGGTCAGACGCAGGTCAGCTCTTGAAGCGCTGCACGGCAAGAGCCTCCCCGCCCCTCCCTCCTCTGTTGGACTCTGTTTAATGTCGGACGAGGAAGTGGCTTTGCTTTATTTACAGAGAGCAAGAGCATGTCACGTTCATCAGATAATTAATTCATAATTAATTCACCAGATAATTCAGATACGTTCTGAGTTTCATCACCCAGGAGCTGCGGGAGAGGCTCACAGCTCGCTTTCAGGACTATTTTTGTCCCGAGTCCAGTCTGATGAGTCGCTGCCACGCATTGGTGCGGATATCTCCTGTCAGGACACCGACTGCAGGCACTCCATTTCAGCTAAAGAGCTCCTCTCTGTCTGTTTCAGGTTAGTGGACATCATTCAGTAAACTGTCCCGTCGGGAAATATGTCGCTACGTCACACAATGGAGTCTCTCTGATTGGTTGACGCGGCGCGTCGAGCTGCATAAGTTCAGATTTTCTAACTTCAGCGATTTGCACCTCAGCGCGTCGAACACTGAGATAGTTCAAATCGCGCTGCTCTAATCGCGCTTGAGGCGCCGCAGCCCTTCCCGACGCTAATTGAAGCGCGTCCACCATAGACTTTGTATGTAAACCTGATGCTCCTGATGCTGAAATCGCGTTCGGTGTGAACGCACCATTAGCATTCACAACATCCTATGTTATAACAGAAGAGGCGCCATCGTGTGGCACTAAAAAGGTACTACAACAGTGATATACATACTGACTGTTACAAAGTGTACAAGTAAAATATAGTGGAAGCTAACGCTAATGAAGGACTGCCACTCAGTCTGCATCACACATCTTCGTCTCCTTCAAGCTGAGGTGGGACTGACAAAAACCTGTTGATGTTAGTTTAATGGTTGGCGGTCAGCAGACTTAAGGTTAGCAAAACTCAATTTAGAGGACCGGGGCCGCCAACGGTTTTCAAAGTTAGTGAAAAAGCTCCTCCGCYAAATGAAAAATTAGATCCATTAGTAGCAGATTAGCTGACCCACTCCCACCACTGGTTATAAGCCTCATCGAGCTCTTCAGAGGATTAAAACATCCGTCATTGATTTCTTATCAGTTTCTGAATGACTGATAATCATAGATAAAAGGGACTGAATGGATAAAGAAGTTTTAGATTCAATCAGGTCTCGTTTTAGTTCAGGCGTTACTCTGAAACTCAGCTTTTGTCTGTTATTGAGTTAATTTGATCAGAAGTAGCTCTGTCCTCTCTGCACTCATGAGTAAACCTAACTGTTTGGGAGCCGTTGAGCTTCAGCGTGGGTGAATTTTTCTGAAAGGAAAGTTTTTCTCAGTTTGATAAGACTGTGTAGAAAAGAAAAATGTTTGTGGACATTATTTAAACCTGTAACGAGTTCCTGAAAGTAAAGACATCAGATTTGTTGTTACAGGGGTGGAAATTAAACATTAAGCATTTTTCTACCTGTATTTTATCACATGCAACAAGGAAACTGTGTAAAGTTTGAGCATTTTTTTAATAAAACACATTATTTTACAATTTAAAAATGTCTGTTGCAGTTTATGACAATATCTGAATAAAAGTGGATTAATGAATAAACACCAGATGTCTACAAGCAGAAACTCATATTTTAAASATCAGAATCGCAGCTTCAAACAATAATGTTCTTAATTTGTGTTTGTTCGCAATCTATCTCACAAACTACCGTACAAAATTTAATACAAATTTCCAAAAGTAATTTAATGAGCATCTACTGTTTAACTGATTTAAGAAGGCCGCCAGTCAGCTGACACAAAAAAATTCAGTCCATTTTTCGTATAATGACTTAAAGTTTGGTGTGCTAGTAGCTTACTCTGATCCCCRACACATATTCTGTGCACAGATTGTGGAAGATTTTCAGATAAAAAATTCTTATTTATTTGTAGTTAATTGCTTTTTGTCCATTATGAAAATATCTCATTAACCACTGAATGTAATTTGATTAAAACTCAGGAAATAATCTTTGGGTTCACCCTGGTTACCTTTTGGATTCAACCCAATTCAAGATGATTGACATAGTCAACTGTCTTTGAAAAGCACACAAATAAATCAGTCATTCTCAGAGATATTTTGCTAATGTTTGTCATGGTAGTAGCTGAGACCATTACAAAGGTGTTAGCATTAACTCTATTAGTAAAATATATCAAGAACCATTATTAGATTTGAATGAAACTCAATTTTCATTTCAAAATTTTAATATAAAAATGATCATTTATTTTGATAATTTAACAAATCTGCATTCAACCTCCAATATTTTTTTATATTCAAAACCTTTTTTTTAAACCTGTTCTAATCCTGCTCCGTTAAACTCAGTGTGACCCCGGAGATTAGTCACAGGAGGGTCCTGATGGTCCAGTCCTCCCTTCAGCTGCTGTCATTAGGTGTCAGGAAGATGTCCACTTTTCTTAGCTAATAAGGCAGAGAGACATGAGGGCAAAAGGCAGGTAAGCTGGTGCCGCTCGTCCTCCTTTTTTCCTCATGAAGAATCTGACTGGAACAAGAACAAGGCAGGGGTTAACAAACCCAGACCTGCAGGTGGTCACTGTCGCAGTCTGTGACCCCTAAACATTTTGGAAAAGGGAACTGAAAACAAGCAGCAGCCTGACTGAGACGATTCACCTGTCGAAGCTGCTTTTAGCTTCACTGGAGCTGAAATGATGTCCATAAACAAACCGTAAAGTGAGGAGAATAACAGATGTGCCACAAAGTTTATATATATATACATGTATATATACAG